AAAAAAAAAAAAAAAAAAAGGAACTCCACAAAAAATCTGAAAAAAAAAAATGTTGTGTAGAATTGCAATACAAACAACTTTTGGCTGAGGGTCACATCAGAATTCCTCACGGAACTGAAGATCAAAAAAGATAAACAAAATAAATAAAAAATCACATTAAGGCACCCCCCTTTAAACCCCTTTAGCCTCTTTGAAATTCATTTATACTCCCCTTCCCCACCCTTGACAGCCAACTCTCAAAAAAAGAAACGAGCCAGGATTTAGGCTCCTCTCGGAGGGCGCGGAAAAAACCCACCGTCAATTTTTTATTATTATTATTTTTTTATGTTTTTTCCCCATGCCCGGGTATCCCGGTCGTCAGACCCCCCCGGGTATCACGCCGGGTGACCGGCCGGTCATGGAAATCTTCCTAGGTAATGATTGATTTCATGAGGATTGTATCTTTCCAATTTTTCGTGAGTAATAGGTCGATGTGGGGACCATTCAGCCGCATGGGCTGGGTTCTGGCACTTGTTTGACTTGCATCCAGGTGGCTGAGCTGCAAAACCACCCTTGTTAGGATGAGGCTCAAGACTTGACTCACCATGGGATCCAGACCGGGAGGGATTTTGAAAAAAAAAAAAAAAGAAAAAAGGAGCCAAAATCTCGAAAAGAGCCAGGTGTGAAACGGTTTCACCCGTGTCCTGCAACAGTCGCAGGGCTCGATCCCATGACCTGTTCCCCTTTCCATGTACAGTACCCGTTGACCTCTGCGCGTTTGAACCCGCGACCTGAGTCGTATGAGCTGCAGTTGTAGTACCATACTTGCAAGCGGACGCCGTCCGGGCGGTTCCGCACGTGCGGCACACCGCCGGACCTGACCCGCGCAGCAGCGCACGAATGTGCGCCCGACGACCAGTTACGCCTTCCCCCCCCCCAAAAAAAAAAAAAAACGGCCCCGTCCGGTCCGGTCCGGGTCCGTCTGGTCCGGGGGGAGGGTGCCGCACGCGGCAAAGCGGACCAGACCAGATGCTCGTCCGACCGGTCTGCTTGCAAGTATGAGTTGTACACACAGTTGGTCGCGTGGGCTTGAACCGCGGACTTTAGTGTTAGTGGTCGTAGGGTCAGCCTAGGTCGTAGCTGCTACAGTTTTGAAAGGTCATTCTTATAATATCTATTCTTATAATTTTGATTCTTATGACTTCAAATTATGATGTCATGTTGTAATTATGCAATAATTTTTCTATACTAATGTGAAAAGTGTTTTAATACCTAAAATGCGCAAAAGCTCTGTTTGCTTCTGTCATTCTATGTGTCTTTTCTTTTCTACGAATGGCTCCTCCTGTGTCTTTAGTCCTACCTAGGCTAGGACCTTCTGGAAGAATGTGAACTGGTTCTTTGTAGGGTCTAAGAGTCAGTCTGTAGCTGAGTCAGCAGAGGGCAGTCCTAGTCCAGTCAGCGAAGGGCAGTCCTAGTCCTACCCTAGTCTAGTCAGCGGTACCCAGTTGCAGTCCTCACCTAGTACAGTCAGCGAGTACCAAGTGGGACTGTGCACATTCTGGGCCCAGGCCGGGAGGCCAGACCACCGACGAAAGAAGTTAAGATAAAGAGGCAGCGTCAAGTGATTCATCCATTCTGCCTGTGAGCCATGCGGAAGCGCTGCGTGAGCGTCTTGTGCATCGGAGGTCTGCAGGTGCCCGAGGAAGGAGAGGGCTAAGAGGAGAAAGAAGCGGCCATAGCCGTGAGTTCGCATAGGAGGGAGACGGCAGCCATAGCTGCCACGTACGATAGTGTAGTGTGTGTGTGTGTGTGTGTGTATATGTAGTTTAGTGTGTATGTCTATGTAGTGTAGTGTGTGTGTGTGTGTGTATAACGCGTGCATGTGAGGGACATTCAGGAGAGGGCTAAGAGGAGAAAGAAGCGGCCATAGCCGTGAGTTCGCATAGGAGGGAGACGGCAGCCATAGGTGCCACGTACGATAGTGTAGTGTGTGTGTGTGTGTGTGTGTATATGTAGTTAAGTGTGTATGTCTATGTAGTGTAGTGTGTGTGTGTGTGTGTGTATAACGCGTGCATGTGAGGGAAATTCAGGGTGATCCGAGTAGGTGTCACCGTGTGTGTTTGTGCGTGTGAACAAGTTGCTGGTGGATACAGCAGATGATCGGGAGGGAATCTTCGTCAGGCGCTGGGTGCGATAGCCATTCAAGACAAGTTTGAATCTGATCTGTGTTCCTGGCCACGTTCTTATCTCTGAGATTTGTGTGGGCACTCTGCGCCAGTTCATGTTCGTCATCTGTTTGCAACTTTGCATGCATGCTAAAAGCAAGTTGCGACAAGTCTGATTTCAGCTGTTGCAGGCGCTATGTTTGTGCATGAAAAGCATGAACCTGGTCTTCATAATGGCCAGGTGCTACAGCAGTAACAGCACGAATGGGACCAGGTTATGAAAATGAATGCGCAGTGCCATTTTCACAAAATGCGGGTGTTGAATTCCAATTGCAATCTATGTGAAAGCAGGATCAGAGAGAGAGAGGAATGCTGAACAAATCGTTTGCGACTGTGTATTCTGTATGAAATGGCTGTACTCTCTATGAAATCATTGCAGGATGCGGCTACGCTGGAAATGCGAGTGGAAGCATTCCTTTCCAGTTTTGGAAAGAAACTCCTCGACATGCCGGAAAAGGAATTTCAGGTAATGTCAGAACAAGGGCAATAGAGTTCATCAACCACCAGGCAACACATGAGACCACGAAATTGTTGTTATCACATTCTACTGTACAGAGGATAACCCCTCTCTCTCTCTCTCTCTCTCTCTCTCTCTCTCTCTCTCTCTCTCTCTCTCTCTCTCTCTGTGTGTGTCTGTGTGTGTGTTTGTAGACCAGCTGAGCACTCCTCTTTCCAAAATTCCCACCCTTGCTCACTTTGTGTATTCGGTTCACAATTTTTGTGCCCTTATTTTCCCTTCAGGCTGCCAACGGTGCCCCTGCATGTGACCTTCAACTTTCTCATTTCGTCTTCTATTTCCAATCTGCTGCCACCCACCCGTCAGCGCTTTCTCCTACTGCCTTCCCCCGAATCGAACGTACAGTCATTTTACATGAATTTGGGTTAACTACTAGTCTAGATGCAGCGGTGATGACAGTAGTCGTCGCATCATGCGCCATACTCCTTTCTGATTTGGGCAGAGTTGCACCGACCTTTCTTGTTGCATCATCCTGGTTTCATTAGGAATTGTACTCGTGGTCTGTTTATTGGCTGTTAAACGTGTGTAATACTGTGTATCATTTACAGGCAGATGGGCTGGGTGTGAACGAGTGAGTTCTCTTGCTCTCTTTTTTTTTCTTTTTTCTTTTTTCTTTTTTTCTTTTTTGAGAAATAGAAGACAGTGTCCTTCGGGACATCCGTTAAAATTGGAACGATACACAGAAGATTAGCATGGCCCCTGCGCAAGGATGACACGCATAAATCGAGAAATGGTCCAA